GCTGCAATAACGAGAGCAGCGCCTGCAGTTGCTGCGCGGTCAAAGGGGTGGGGGCGGCGTTGACCGGGGTGACGTCAGCGGAGGGTGCCGCGCGCTGGCGTTTCTGGGTCGTGGGCCCGGATGGACCCGCGTCAGCGCCGGTCAAGACGACCGCCGCGTCAGCGGCGGTCGTCGTCTTCTGCGCAGCACGCGCGTGCCTGCCAGGCCCGCGCTCTTCAGCAGCAGCCACGCGCGACTGTACAACAGTCGCGCGTTCCTCAGGGGGGGTCCGAAGGGTGCCTCCGAGCAGGAGGTCGACCGCCGAGGGTCCCTCGCTTGAAATTTCCTCGGCGGGACGTTTTCCGCCGCGACGATCCGTTGTCCCGGCCGGAGTCGAGGTTTCCGCCGCGTTACCGGGGCTAGAATTATTCGAATTGTCGCGGTTAAGTGCCGGGTTGACCGGAGCCATCGTTGCGAGGTTGCGCTTAAGGATGTCGTTAAGGAGCGTTGACGGGGAAGTGAAGCGCGGAAGCGACTGAGTCTTCGCCAGTGTGGACGAGAACGAAATTAGAACTACAATTTGAAAATGAAAACGTGGGTGGGGACGAATGTCCCCACGTCCCTCTTTTGTAGGCAAAAGAGGGTGAGTAGCGCTTCGGCGCTACCTTTGCTGTGTTGGCCACGTACCCCTTTTCACAATACAAAATTTTAGAAAGTGTTACATTTCATTACACTTTCAAAAATTATCATATTTGAGAAACGGGCCGAATGATAAATTTAATCAGCAACGTACACGGCACATAGTGGCAGCCAGCAAACTCGCAGCGGGCAATCTTAAGCGCAAGCAAGCTTGCAACTCTGTTCCATCGCTTGCAACAAGTAAAGACGGGCATTCACACAAATTGCAGAGATTTCATGGCTCGTAGAGATGCTGCACTGCCAGTGAGTAACAGACACTTGCTTGCATCTTGTGATCAGGAAGATGGTGTCACCAAACAGCTAAGTCAGGGGTTTCTCAACGTCAGCAGCAGGGTTGGGAACCTTATTCTTCTTCGCGATGTGGCATAGGAAGATAATCCTCACGATGCCAAGAAGGATTATCAGAATGCTCAAGACAATGAGTAGCCAGCCCCACCACGTAAGATATGTTGTAGTCCCTCCACTGGCAGTAGGTTGGGAAGGACAAACAGAAATACGGCACTCGCCACCCTTGTACACTTTACCTGGTATGATGGATGAGGCAGACGGGAGAAGAACAGGAGAAGAACCGGGTATGTCAAAGTGAGTTTGTTGTTTTTCTTCGAAATGACACGCAGCATAAAGCAGTTGGGTGCAAGCAGCGGGTCACAAGATGCGTCAGCCAATGCACACCGTATGCGAATCGATGCCATCACAAGCCAGAGTCACCAATTCCTAACCAAAAACAGATTGAGAAACAAAATAATGAGAGAAAGCAGGGCTCTAGCTAGACTCACCCATGGTACCAGTTTCGATGATGAACTCATCAACCCAATTGGGCTGGAAGTTATAACTGCAGCCACCAGTATTTTTGGACGCGCATTGCTGCGGTGAACGAGTTTTGCAACCAGTTGAAGTGTCATGCAATGTTGATGATGTGGTCGGATGAGATCCAACGAGGTCCAATGCGGTCCGCGTTCATGAGGAGAAAAGGGTGTGGCGAAGAGGGAGGAGGAATAAGGAAATCGGAAGTTGCATTGGCAGAGAGCAGAGGGAGGAGGAGAAAGCATGGGCAATTCGAGCCTTTTCCAACAAAGGCGCCAGAAACGCCAAGTTTCAGTTTCTCCACCTTTTCACCGAGAAGAGAAAGTAACCCGCGACCTTGGGCGATTATCCATCTGGCAGGTGAAACATGAACGCGCAATGCTCTTGTGAATCTGAATCGTTGCGGAGTTACATACCGCGCAATTATTGGCGCAGAGTTCGCTGGACGCCCTGACGTTCTGTGGGTTCTTGCACAGCGTGCCACAGTCGATCTCGGTGGCGGCTACTCTGCCGCAGCGTGCGAAGACTGTGAGAATAGCAGCAACCATTACTACGCTCCTCATTGTCGGGGAAACGAACGTCATGACTTCGAGAGGTATCAACCAATCAACCTGATTGATAGTGGCGAACAATGCAGCCTACTAGATAAATTGTTGAGAACGCTAAACGAAAAGACAATGACCACTACTAGTAGACTCCGACGGTGCTTATACTAACATGCCAGCCGAGGAAACCTCGCGAGAACAGGTCCTCGCGTCGCGACGCAGGGGAGTCGCGAGGAGGAACAACCAAGTCGGCGCTCACCTCATCCTTACAAATGTTCAAGGACAACCTCCTCCTCCTCCTTATCCTTATCCCATCGAGCCCGGACGCGATCCGAACGAATCAGCTCGCATGGTGCGGCTGTCGAGCCCGGACGCGATCCGAACGAATCAGCTCGCATGGTGCGGCCGATATGTGAGGTGTGCAGCCCTCTGAGGTAACATGCTTGCGGTACAGGTGACGATGCAACTGCGATGCGGGCAGGAAAAACAAACGCAGGAAAATCGGCAGCGCCCATGTCCAATGGGATAGCAGTTAGACTAAGGGTTTCATGCGATGTAAGTCACTCGCCGAAAGCCAGATTGCTACAGTAGTCTTGTCTGCCGCATCTGTAGTCGCGGTGTGACGCGTGTACTGGGGCCATTGGCGTAAGGACGCGAGCTAATCAGCTGCGAGTGAGGTTGCTTAGGGTTCAGAGCAAGGGTACTCAGACAGAGGTATCGAAGCAGATGCAAGCGGACGCGGTAAGGAGCCACCTGCTGTATGACAACTGAATCATCAGAATCATTTCAGCATGTCTTTCTTTAAGAAACATGGCTAAATTCCAACAATGACAAGGGGTCTTATTGGAGACAGCAGAAGCAAGGCCATCGTCTGATGACGTCCGTGCACACCTCTATGGGGTGAGCAGCTTTTAATTGCTCTCACATAGATATGCTGCACTGCAACTACAAGGCCGTGACGACAGACCTCTCCACCTTAACCAAAAGAACCCACTCTCTGTGCAGAAAAAAGAATCTTGGCCACCACTAGGCAAAGGTGAAATATGTCTTTAGCTTATGCAACTGACAAAGCAAGTGTGCTCTATTTATGCGTAGTAGTTAAGGCTAGCCTTTTTCTTGGCCTGCACCTGAATAATTCCTTCATTGAAATCCTCATGCGTCACCTGCAATCAACACAATACAAAACATGCACAAGTTAGCAAAGCATGCCCTTAGCCCTATCAAAATAAGGTGACATCAGCCACGTACGGTACGGTAGGATAGGTGACGCAAGAAACGTTAACAAGCCACATCAATCATAATAATCACCTCAGTGGCGTCTCGGCGCAAGGCAAGCATGCCAGCCTCTACACAGACAGCCTTGAGCTGAGCTCCATTAAAATCGTCTGTTGACCGCGCTAGCTCCTCGAAATTCACATCCGGGTGAACGTTCATTTTCCGCGAGTGGATCTGACAGGGAAGGAGGAGGGAGGGAGGGGGAGGGGGGGGGGGGAGGCGATTCACATCCGGGTGTACGTTCATTTTCCGTGAGTGGATCTGACAACCAGGGAGGGAGGGAGGGATGGAGGAGATTGGAACCAGATAGAAGGTTCGAGACGTCTAAGTCTGCTGACCGCGCTAGCTCCTTGAAAAGCACATCCGGGTGTATGTTCATTTTCCGTGAGTGGATCTGACAGGGAAAGAGGGGGAGGCAAGGAAGAAGCAAGCAGAGGTAGGAATTTGCAGACATCTCGAAAAATGTTGGCACCGGCAGCTCCCCAAAATTCACGTCCGGGTGTACGATCGTTTTCCATGAGTGGATCTGAGAGGGAAAGGGGGAGAGGGGATTAGAGACAGATATTGGTAGGAGGTTTGAGATGATCCCAGTTATGTTGAGCTCGCTAGAAAATCACTCATCCATGGCAACTCCAAAAAGCATCCAATCGCAAACCCAGTGCACAAGCAAAAGCATGAAATCCCTTGCCACTCGCCTCACCTGCAGGATGCGAGCCCGTGCCTCCTCAGTGGGGTGTGGGAACTCAATCTTCCTGTCCAGCCGCCCCGAGCGCATGAGAGCCGGGTCCAGGATGTCAGCTCGGTTGGTGGCTGCCACCACCTAAGACGGTGTGAGTGGGGGTAAATGGAGTGGATGCGGTGGGGTATAGAGGCAGGAAGGACTGAGTCGCCCCCGACGCATGAGAGCCGGGTGGAGGATGTCCGCTCGGTTGGTGGCTGCTACCACCTGGTGGGGACACGGTGTGAATGGGGGTGAACGGGGGTGGTGGAGTGAGAGGGAGGAGGGGCAGGCAGGCCTGAGTCACCCTAAGTGCACAAGCACATGAGCGCCGGGTCGAGGATGTCGGCTTGATTGGTGGCTGCGACTAACTGGTGGGGACATGGGGTGAATGGGTTGAGGGGCAAGAGGGACGCGCAGCAAAAACGCTTGGTTTGGTGAGGACAGAAGAGAAGGTGGGGATGTAGGGTGAGTTGCTGAGGAGCGGGGAGGTGCGGGGAAGAGACGGGGAATTGAGGAGGCACGAATGGAGCTTGTGTGGAAAGCACAAGTGCGCATGAGATCTGAACGTGACAACTGAGATTGTCATGCGTAGCTGATTCCCTCACCTTGATTCTATCATCACTGCTGAATCCATGCAGGTGATTCAGCAGCTCCAGCGTCATTCGCTGCAGCATATTTTGACTTGACGGCCAACCCACCATAAATCTATCTTGTCAACCGTCTCACCTTGATTCTGTCGTCGCTGCTGAAACCATCTAGCTGACTCAGCAGCTCCAGCATGGTTCGCTGCACCTCGCGGTCCCCACTCACTTCACTGCCAGTGTTTGGGGTTCAGAGCGAGGGCGAATAGAGGTTTGAAATGACAATAGTGGGTGGGAAAGAGGGAAACGATGGGAAGTGGGCACAGAGCAAGTGAACACCTATCAGCACTGACTACTGCATTCGTTTGGTGCTGTTTGGCTAACGAGTGCACTCAATGGCACGAACATCGTGTTCCAGAGCAGCAGCGAACTGAATGAAATGAAAACAGCAGCATGTACAGCATTCAATCGTGGGCATAAAACCCACCTGTCGAAGCGCTCGGTGCCAACGGCGTCAATTTCATCGATGAAGATGATGCACGGCGACTTCTCCTTGGCCAGCTCACTGCCATCTCACAGCCTCTCCCTGCCCGCTTTCCTGACTGCCCTGTGCCCCTATTCAAGAGCTCGGAATGACGCCCACCTGTCGAAGCGCTTGGTGCCAATGGCGTCAATTTCATCGATGAAGATGATGCACGGCGACTTCTCCTTGGCCAGCTGAAACGCATCCCGCACTAGCTTCGCCCCATCTCCTATGAACATCTGCGTGGGGAAGTGAGGGGGCATGAAATGTATAGAGGTGGTGAGGAGGTGGTGAGGTTGGGGGTTGTCAACTTCCCCTTGGCCAGCTGAAACGCGTCCCGCACCATCTTCGCCCCGTCTCCTTAAAAAATCTAGAGAAAGTGGGTGCGGGACGTTGGGAGGTAAGGAAAGTGGGGAGGGGGGGATTGGGAAGGCAGTAAGATTGACTTCTCCTTGGCCAGCTGAAACGTGTCCTGCACTAGCTTCGCCCCGTCTCCTATGAACATCTGGGGAACAGGGTTGGGGGGTAGGGAAGGTATGGAGGTGGGAGGGAGAGCAAGGGAGTAGGGGAAGGTAAAGAAGTGGTGAGGTTGTAAAGTGGTGGTGAGGTTAGGTGGTGGTGAGGTGGCGAGGTAGGGGATTGTAAACTTCTTCTTGGCCAGCTGAAATCCATCCCACACTAGCTTCGCCCCTTCTCCTATAAACATATGGGGAACGGGGGTGGGGAGGAACAACAGGTGAGGAGAAATGAAAGGCAAGGAGGCAGTGAGATGGTGGGATGGGAAGGTGGGGTGGTAGAATAAGTGTGGGAAGTTGGGGAGGACAAATACATGACTCTTCTTTCCAGCTAAATTTTATTTTTTTAATGCCCACGCGGAAGACACCATACCCCACCGCACTCCACCTCACCTGCACGAGCTGAGGGCCTGCGAGCTTCAGGAACGTGGCGTTGGTCTGAGCAGCACACGCCCTGGCAATCAGCGTCTTGCCAGTGCCAGGGAAGCCGTACAGCAGCAGCACACCCCCTACCATACCCCATGCCCAGTAAATTCCACCGCATCCCACCGCGTCTCACCGCACTCCATCTCACCTGAACGAGCTGCGGCCCTGCGAGCTTAAGGAACGTGGCGTTGGTCTGAGCGGCACACGCCCTGGCAATGAGCGTCTTGCCGGTGCCGGGAGGGCCGTACAGAAGCACTCCCTTGGGCGGCTTGATGCCTAGCGAGGCAAACCGCTCCTTGTGCGTCATTGGCAGCACCACCGCTTCCACCAGCTCTTGAATCTGCGTATGGAGAACACGATAGGATGGGGAGAGAGGGGTGCAAAAAGGGAGAGAGGGGGCTTGATGCCCAGCGAGGCGAAGCCCTCCTTGTGTATCATGGGCAGCACCACCGCTTCACGCGTGAGTCATACTCAGCTACAGCCCCACCCTCCCTGCTACAACTCATCTCTGCAAGACCTCACAGCGCACACCTGCTTGTCCAGCCCGCCAATATCGCTGTAATCCTCTGTCGGCTTCTCGTCCACCTCCATGGCCTTGACTCGCGAGTCATACTCGGCAGGCAGCGTGTCAAGAATGAGGTAGCTGTCCTTGTTGACGCCCACCAGGTCGCCCGGCTTGAGCGCGTCTGCGTCCACGAGGCCGACGACGGGCAGGAAGATGGTTTGGCGCGTGGAGGTTTTGAGCACCACGCACTTGCCCTTGCGTAGAGAATCCAGGTCCAGATTCGCTCCGTCCTCGGGACTCTCGTCCTCGGGATTCACGTCCAGGACCTAGGGCACCCGGGGGAAGGGGGAAGGGGACGGGGGACGTTTTGAGCACCACGCACTTGCCCTTGCGTAGGGAATCCAGGTCCAGATTCGCTCCGTCCTCGGGGCTCTCGTCCTCAGGATTCACGTCCAGGACCTGAGGGCCGGGGGGGTGGAAGGGAGGGAGGGGGAGCGGACGGGGGAAAGGGGGAGAGGACGGGGGGAAGGGGAAGTCGGGAGAGGGGACGGACGGGGAAAGGGGATGCGGGGAAGGTGGGGAAGAAGAGCAGAATTGGAGCAGGAGTGGAGCAAGAGTGGGAAAGAGGTGAAGACATGAATGCCTTGTAAAATTGAAGTCAAACTACACTGAAACTTGATGATGTCAAAAGGTTCAACGAACGCGTAGGGTGAGTGCTGCAACAGAAGACTTATATGTTGCTGACGCATGCTGACGTGGTCACATGCTAGTATCGAGCTGACGTTTCCGATGAGCTACGGCAATTGCTTGTTGATTTTAATCTCCTGGTTGGCTTTCGAGCCGTCCCAAAAGTCAAAGCAGCTCACCTCGACAACGTTCCCAACGAGGTACGGCAGCTGCTTGTTGAGTTTAATCTTCTCCTGATTCTCCTTGATCTTCTCCTTCATGGACTCGTGCTCCAGATGCACGCGCTGCGACTCGTCCTGATTGCACCGGGAGGAGAGGAGGAGAGAAAAACAATTAGGTTCAAGGCAGGTACTAGAAAGGGAAGAGATCGAACGTATTTCCAAGTAACGCACTGGGATACGGATGATTAAAAGCAACGAAGACGATGCGACAAAATTGCCAGGAAGCAAGCAGCACGGGATTAGAGTGGGTGACGCAGGAATCTGCGAAGAATCTTCGCGGAGGAAAAGAGTCTGAATAATTGGCACGAAGAATGCGGCTGGTCCACCGCCGGAGACGGAAGTCAGGGAGGGATTAAGTAAACTGAACAAAATTCCGAATTCTGTAAACTGAACAAGATTCCGATTTCTGTAAACTGAACAAGATTCCAAATTCTGTATCAAGTTCATAGGAGGAAATTACTAGTCTCGAAAGGTCGGATGGCTGTCGCGGCCAACGAGGTTATAATCGAGACTAAAGACGGATGCTACTGATACTGAACTGCATAATGAAGGATCTGAATAAATTTACTGAGTCTCGAATTCAGATCTGTACTTCCGTTTGCTAGCCAAGCCTACTGATGCGCGGTCCCCGTACGGAGAAACGTTCGACCCTAACAGAGTAACAACCTAATCCACACTATGACTGCGAAAAGGTTCCACGGTTTCGAATTCCACTCGCATCTTGCAATCAACATACGATTATCGTTCTCCGGCGGTCTGGACGGCCAAACATATCGCTTTAAGAGCTATTACGACGAATCTGAAGACCTCCCGCATCGCACCTTGAGGACGCGAATCTCGTTATCGAGCAACCTAGATCGGCGAATGATATCGTCCGCGCTCATGAACGCGAGCTCGTCGCCGATCCCACCATCGTCGTCAAATATATCATCCTCGTTGAAAGCCGCCATGGCTGGAAACTTAGAGCAAACAGAGAGCTGAGAGAGAGTCAAGAGACGTACAGCAGCGAATCTGTCCACTGATCGCTGGCTGCAAGGTAGCGTATGTATGAGAACACGGTGATGAGTTCTGTGTGAAATGGCAATCCCGATGACGCGAATGCAGAATTCAGCTGTTTGGAGCGAACAATGTTGTAGCTGATTCGATTTCATGGTGTGTTTCCTAGGATATAATATCCTACGATTTGTTTATACGGAAAAAGCGCATTCTCCATCTAGCTTGGGGTTTAGGGTGAATACTAAAATAAACCCAGAACAATGTCAGCTACTGAATTCATAACAGCAGCATATTAGCATTGGCCAGAACAGTACCATGTTTCTTTGGTTTTTTCTTGCACTAACATGTGCTCAGACACATGTTCTCAGCAAGCATCAGGCTTGTTTAATTTCCAATACTTCTTACTGGTGCCAACCAAAACGCAACTGCAACTTTCCTTTCCCGTGCATCTCCATCAACCCCTCTTCTCCAAACATGAGTAGAGGCACAGGCCAATGCCAATGCAGATAAAGAGAATAGCGAAGCTAATGAGCAGCCAGGCCCACCACTCGAGACCACTGCTGCAGGACTGACTGCAGGTAGCTCCCTGGTACGTTTGAGCTGGCGTGTGCAAAAAAAACGGAAACGGTGGGACAAAAAAACAGTAAGCATAGATAATGTGTGTGCTTGTGCGCATGTAAAGTATTCGGTGCATGTAAATATTCCATACAGTAAGTGTGTGCTGTAAAAACAATATTGGTGGGGTATTCAGAGGCGTAAAGAAAGTGAGTGAAAGATAGTGAAAGATCCTTTTGTACAGAGAGCGAGAGAGCGAGAGAGAGCGAGAGAGCGAGAGCGAGAGAGAGAGAGAGAGAGAGAGAGAGAGAGAGAGAGAGAGAGAGAGAGAGAGAGAGAGAGAGAGAGAGAGAGAGCGAGAGAGAGAGAGAGAGAGAGAGAGAGAGAGAGAGAGAGAGAGAGGAGAGAGAGGGACGGGTGAAGGACAGGGGTTGGGGGGGTGGGGCGGTGGGGGAAAGGGGGAAGAGAAGGGTGGGGATGGAGGAGGGGGATTGAGAGGGACGGAGTGAGATGGGTAGGATCAGAGAGTCCAAGACTACGTACCGGTTTGGCCAGAAGCAACATTGGTCACACCGACCCAGTAGGGCTGGAAATAAGTACCACAGCCACTAGAGGTCAACGCCACGCAGTTCTGCAGTGGTAATGCAGCGCAGTGTTTCCCATTTTCAGTGTCGTGCGATGGCCCATAGTGGTTAAAACGCGTGACGAGCGCGATATTGCGTTGTCAACGAATGAATAGAGGCGGGCGAAAAGGCATGAAAAGGTGGGAAAACAAAAGAAAATACAGGAATTGGCATTGACTTATTTTGGAAGCACAGCGCATAAAAACGACGAAAAGCATGAAGAGGGAATACGAAAACGGCGAAGGGGATTGTGGGATAAGTACATGGGCTGGTTTTTTAGCAAATGTCAGGAGAATGTGTTGGTCGAGATAAATCACGAAAACATATAGAATAACGAGGACAGAGCAGTGACGTACGTTGCAGGCTTGGGTGCAGGCAGGAACGACGTATGACGTGTTCGTGGGGTTTTGACACGGCGTCGAACAATCGTAAGCGAACGCCACGCCGCAGAACGCGGAGATGAACATAAATATAGTGGCAACTACTAAAAGGTTCCTCATCGTGTGGGAAACGGAAATGACGGGTTTCAACAAGTATACGGTAACCGGAAGAGATGAATAATCGTTGAGAACAAGGAAGGTTAGGAACCAGTGTTGAAATGGGGAAGCAAGATTGGAATTGTCTACTAGTCTGCTATGGAGTACTCTCAACTCAACTCAATGCTTGCTGAAATGGCCAGAAATGGCAAGGCTGCCACAACAAATGGCGGGAAAGACGAGCCAGCTTGCAAAGCGGTTCGATTGGCGGTGTCCGATTTGCTGGTGGCTTGGCTGCTCTAAAGTTGATGCGAGGTTTGGTGGAGGGTAATGTGACTGCTAAACACGCACGGTTTAGTGGGTTTCCGAATGGACTTTGCACGGTTCAGTGGCCTGCAGCTCGATTTCTCTGGAGGCTTGGCGATTTTGTTTGAATCTTGGGGCACATTATCAGGTCTGGCTGCCAGCCTGGCCGTAGCCCCGCTAAAAGAATTCGTTCGGAAGATTCCGAGCCTAGAGCCACAATAGACAATTTGGTGCCCCAAAAAAGAGCAGCGCAAAATTGGGTGCCTAAACTGAAACGTACGCCCTTATGAGCGACTATGGTACCGTGTGTGTTATGTTGGAAATCCGAATACAGTATAACGAGTTCTGTATACCAGTGTGCTGTTTGGTTTTAGTGTAGTCCTCTTTTTAAGCCTCCAGGTCCTACAATTATTGTAGGACCACAATTATTGGAGCTCACCATTATTGGAAGGTAGAGGGTACAGTTATTGGTACACCATTATTGGTGTGAATGGGTCATCCTAGGAGGGGTAGCTGGATGCATATACCGTCTGGCCCCGGATATAGGCGTACCGTCAGCCCCCGGATAGAAGCGCCCCTGGGGTTATAAAAAAACACGTTTTTTTAGGGGGTGGGCTTATAATCGAGGATTTTTATAAGCGCCGGAGCTTATATAATGGCATATATAAAAAATTTCGTTTGTACACCAAACTGTAGATCCCGTTCTCGCGAGTTGAATCGAGTCAAAAGTATACAGGGTTGCGATTGAGAATCTCGCTTGCAAGTTGGCAGGGATTGATTCCCTGCCAACACACACAGTCAGAATGAGTCAACGTGCACCCCTGACAGCTCATTCTGACTGGACGCGCTGGCAGTGAGCCGAGCGAGGGTGAAGGGCATCGAAATTCAAAATGTGGGAAAGGAGATGTTGAGTTTCGTTACGACGAATTCAGTAAAATTATAGTTAGAAAAAAAAGGGTGGCGCTTATAATCCGTAAGCCTTCAGGGGTGCGCTTATAATCGAGGACCGGATATAAGCGCCCTCATCCTTTTATAAGCGCCGGCGCTTATCCGAGGCCTGCGCTTCTATCCGGGGGCTGCGCTTGTAATAAATTCATTTTTTTTAGGGGTGGCGCTTGTAATCGAGGAACGGCCATAAGCGCCGGCGCTTTTATAATGTCAAAAATGGATTTTTATTTTAAAGGCACGAAACGGAAGCCCTCAATAAGGCGAACAAGACCATGCACTGTGCGCATGGGCTCGTGCATGAAAACGCGCCGAAACCAGTCGCGACACGATTTCCCACCGCACAAAGCCCGTCCAGGTGCAACGCACCTAACAGCGATGACGTGCATCCTGCCGCGCGGCCCAATAGGGTTTACATGCGCTGCCAGGGTGCCACATTTCACCCGAACTTTCGAGAAGGGGGTGGCATATCCCTGCCAGCGCAGCAGATACGTGCCGCGATTCCCTCCTCTGCGGGTTTAGGCAGGGGGGGATCTGACTATGCCTGAAGAGGAACTCGAGCCGCACACCAGAAGGGGTCCCCTCCAAACCCTCATTTCTTCGCCTTCTCTTTCACTTTTTTCATTCAGATTCTTCGTCTCGCCCGCCATGCTGCGGAAGCCATGGCGGAATTCGCTGGCACTCATTTCTTGTTCAAAAAGAAGCCCGCGCGTAGGCCCGCCTTCGTAGTCGACGCCGACGGATGGTACTCCCGTGCCCCACCTGAACCACCAGAGCCACCACAGCCTCCATCGCCTCCTGCGCCGCCTGCTCCTCCTGCTCCTCCTTTGCCGCCTGCGCCTCCTGCTCCTCCTGTTCCTCCGTCTCCTCCGATTCTGGGATGTCCAGGGGATCCGCCCGTGCTCACGCTCCTGCTCCCGACTGCGTTCGACGAGTGGCTGGATGAACCGGAAAGCAACAAGGCCCCAGATGTTGAGGTACCCGGCGCACCTTACCTTGGACCACGTTGGGGCCGGCCCGATGATTGCACCACGTGGGACGAATCTGCACTCGGAGCTGACGACGACGTGGCTGAGGACGAGGAAGCGAGCCGTGCTGACGGCGACGAGGCTAAGGAAGGTGGCGCGCAGGGCGGCACCGCAGAGGATGTGTTTCCTGAGGGCGTACCTGGTGGCGACGACGGCGACGGTGTCGAGTACTGGTCACGTGACGGGCTCCCCGAGGAACTGCCGATTCCTTCCTTTCCACCAGCTAACCGTAAGCGACCCCACCCGTCTACCCAGAACCGTGATGCCCGCCCCCCCTCTCCCACGCACAAGATCAGCGATCACAAGCGCAAAGGCTACACCGCTGCGGAGAAGTTGAAGTATGTCGCGATGCTGGATGTGGCGAAGTCGGTGCGCGCACTAGCTCGGGAGTGTGGGATTCACCGGAAGTGTCTCGCCAACTGGAAGGTGGCAGCGGGGTTTCTCAAAGAAGCACACTCCGGGCGGAAGCGCATGCACGGTCGCGGGCGGGCCTCGTGGTACCGCCCCATGGAGTTGAAGGTGTACGAGCGGCTCCTGGACTGGCGCCGCAAAGGAACCGCCGTGTCGGTCGGCCGTCTGCGGGAGTGGTCGAGGGAGTTCATGAAGATCCTCTACCCGGACGACAAGTGGAGCGGGAGTCAGAGATGGTCGGAGCGGTTTCGGAAGCGGTGGAATCTGAGCGTCCGCATGAAGACGCGGGTTGCTCCGAAAACAGCCGCTCGTAAGATTACGCCCCTTGCTTTTATGTCTAAGTTTCAGGTTCACTTACTAGACTGCCGTCTATCCCGCCCGCTTTCCCCCGTCTCACAGATCTTGCGGAGCAGTGCCAGAAATTCTGGCGTTTTGTCCGACACATGCCTCGCGCGCGCGGCATCGAGCCATGCTGGATCCTCAACGCTGACCAGACGCCGCTCTGGCTGGAGATGCCCGCCACCACGTGTGAAAATAGTAGGTGTGGGGCCTAGGCTTAGTAGCCTAGGCCCACACTAGGAGATAGGTGAGTTCGAGTGGGTTTGGTGAGAGTCGAGAAATTGGAAGGGAAGTGAAGTGACTAGCAAGAGTAGGGATACAAGTACATTGCCCTAAATTGGGTTGTACTCATTACAGAGTACCCCACTGCAGGCTAGACAGCAAATATATTCTGACACACCCCCATAGCCAAAGTGGGGTGTAATCAGCAGAGCAGGCAAAACAGTACAAGCTCAGGGTGGATCACAATGTCACCACACATTCTGAGCACAAGTTAAAGAAGCAATAGTTTAGAGTTAAGAATTATGAGCACAGCTAGTGGTAGTCACAACGGGCAAGTGAGGAGGAGGAGAGAGAGTGAGGGGAGAGGAGATAGGAGGAGACGGCTGAAGCTGCAGACACACGGGCAACAGGAGGCAGACTGGCACAGCGGCTACCGGACAGCGCCCGGACTACAGGAGTAACAGGCCCCGCGGCTCAAGTAGCGGCAGACGGGCAACGGACCCACGGGCGGCTGGCGTAGAAGTCTAGCTCACCGGGCTACCGGGACAGCGCCCCGGACTACAGGTGCTGCGGACTACAGTACGGCAACTTCCATGCAGCTTCCCCAAACAGTCCCACCCCCCTGACACACACCCGCTGCTACACCGCTAGCTCCACTCCCACGCACCCCCCCTAAGCCCTAAACCCCAGTCTCCCACACAACCACCCCCCTCAGCGACAGCTGCAGAAGTGGGAGACGAAGGAGGAGGAGGAGCAAAGGGAGGAATGCACACCAGCCACCCCCATACCCGCAAACGGGGGGGGGGGGGGGGGGGAGAGCAGAAACAGTGCGCACGAGGGCGCAGACAGTAGCAGAGCGCACGAGGGCGCGAGCACGAGGCACGAGCAGCACCAGGTACATGCAGCATAGGGCAGCACAGGCACGGGCAGCACAGGGCAGCACAGGCACAGGCAGCACAGGCACGGGCAGCACAGGCACAGGCAGCACAGGGCAGCACAGGAACGGGCAGCAACAGGCACAGGCAGCACAGGCATGGGCAGCACAGGCACTGGCAGCACAGGCACGGGCAGCACAGGCACAGGCAGCACAGGGCAGCACAGGCACGGGCAGCAACAGGCACGGGCAGCACAGGCACGGGCAGCACAGGCACGGGCAGCACAAGCACGGGCAGCACAGGGCAGCACAGGCACGGGCAGCAACAGGCACAGGCAGCACAGGCACGGGCAGCACAGGCACAGGCAGCACAGGGCAGCACAGGCACGGGCAGCAACAGGCACGGGCAGCACAGGGACGGGCAGCACAGGCACGGGCAGCACAGGCACGGGCAGCACAGGCACGGGCAGCACAGGGCAGCACAGGCACGGGCAGCACAGGCACTGGCAGCACAGGCACGGGCAGCACAGGCACAGGCAGCACAGGGCAGCACAGGCACGGGCAGCAACAGGCACGGGCAGCACAGGCACGGGCAGCACAGGCACGGGCAGCACAGGCACGGGCAGCACAGGCACGGGCAGCAACAGGCACGGGCAGCACAGGCACGGGCAGCACAGGCACGGGCAGCACAGGCACAGGCAGCAACAGGCACGGGCAGCAACAGGCACAGGCAGCACAGGGCATACCGGGTCCAGGGGCGGCGTCTGCTGGGGCGGCTGCACCTGGGGCTGCTGCTGCAGTGGCGGCTCCAGGGGCTGCTGCTGCTGGGGCGGCTGCTGCTTGGGCTGCTGCTGCAGGGGTGGCCGTTGCAGGGGCTGCTGCTGTTGGGGCGGCTGCTCCTGGGGCTGCTGCTGTAGTGGCGGTTCCAGGGGCTGCTGCTGCAGGCTCTGGCGGTAGCTGCTGCTGCTGGGCGGCGGCGGCTGCTGCTGGAGAGCGGCGGCGGCTGCTGCTGCCGGTAGAGCGGCGGCTGCTGCTGCAGAGCGGCGGCAGCTGCTGCTGCAGGCGCGGTGGCGGCAGCTGCTGCAGGCCTGGCGGCGGCTGCTGCTGCTGGGTGGTGGCGGCCGCTGCTGTAGGCCCTGGCGGCGGTTGCTGCTGGCTCTGACGGCGCCCCGCGGGTCCTGCACGGACGCCGCGACGAGCACGGGCGACGCCCCGCGGGTCCCGCACGGACGTCGCGACAAGTAGGGCGGCGCCGCGCGGGTCCCGCACGGACGTCGCGACGAGCAGGGCGAAGGACTGTAGCGGAAGCATAGGGGCCCACAGGCCAAGGTAGAACGGGCTCTGATAACATGTGAAAATAGTAGGTGTGGGGCCTAGGCTTAGTAGCCTAGGCCCACACTAGGAGATAGGTGAGTTCGAGTGGGTTTGGTGAGAGTCGAGAAATTGGAAGGGAAGTGAAGTGACTAGCAAGAGTAGGGATACAAGTACATTGCCCTAAATTGGGTTGTACTCATTACAGAGTACCCCACTGCAGGCTAGACAGCAAATATATTCTGACACCACGACCATGGATCAGACGGGCGTACGGTCGGTGCCCATCCGGAGTGCAGGTTACCAGAAGGAGCGTGTGACCATGATGCTGGCGTGCACGGCGGACGGGGCGAAGCTCAAGCCGTGGGTATTTTTCAAGTGGAAGACGCTGCCGAAGGGCAACTTTCCTCCTGGTAATAAGTAGCAACTGCCGCTGTCTTATCGTATCGTTTCTCATGCCGCGCTAACAGTTGAAGTGCCATTTGTGTGTGCAGATGTGGTCGTGGCTTGCCACGAGAACGGGTGGATGAACGCAGAAGGCGTCATCCGCTGGCTTGATGAGTGTGTCAAGCCCTTCTTGAAGCTTCGATTTGGCAGGTGTGCGAAGAGCTCTATGCTCGTGCTGGATTCCTACCGCGACCACCTTACCGAGGGGGTGAAGGAGAAGCTCCGCGAGATCAACTGCGTGCCTGCTGTCATCCCGTCGGGTTGTACGGGTGAGGTTCAGCCGCTCGACGTCTCCATCAACAAGAGCTTCAAAGCATCTGTTCGTCAGCAGTACCAGAAGTGGTTTCAGGAGGAGGGCCAAGAGCAACTGACAGCTGCAGGTACGTTGTTTCCGTTAAACACGCATGTTTATCCCCCTTTCACCCTTGGTCACTGACACGGCTTTCCCGGGTGTCTCTGTTGCGGTGCAGGGAATCTGAAGAAGCCCCCCCTAGAAGTGGTCCTTCGATGGATTTCACAAGCCTGGAAAGCAGTACCCTCCGACCTCGTCAAGCGCGCCTTCCTCACCTGCGGCATTAGCAACGCGCTTGACGGCAGTGAGGACCACCTCGCCATGGCGCACAGGCGGAGCCAGCTGACGGCGGAAGTGGATGTAGACGACGACATCATCGCCGACGGATTCTTTGGCAACAACTGCCAGGAGCCCGAGTCTGACGAGGAGTAGTTCCGGTACTAGCACCTAGGTAGAATAGCAGATTAACTCTAAAATTGTGTATTGACTCGTAGGTTACGTTGTAAAAACGATGTTATACTTGTTTTAGTTTTGTTGTGGTGGTAAAAAATAGTGTTAATATTGATGGTGGCGCTTATAATAAGGAAGGGTACAAGAAGGGTGGCGCTTATAATCGAGGATCGGCCATAAGCGCCATGCTCCAGATAGAAGCGCCGGCGCCTGTAATAGGCCGGCGCCTATATCCGGGGCCATACGGTATACCATGCTCTGTCACTTCTTCATCGTCATTGAGTACTCATTGTGTTATCATTCTACTTTTCACTGATCAATGCAAGATTTATGTCTTGCTCTTTTCTACAAACACGTTTCCGCTACGATGGCACTATGCCTTTCTAGCATGGTATCAGAGCTAATCTAGAGGGCATGCTGCCAAATTTAGTTTCGGAATTTACTGTCATTCATTTCGGATAGGTACCTGCATACAGTCAGAGTACCGCACACCCGGTTTACGCTTTCGTACACCTGGTGTTCACTGTTGGTACAACCGCGCGTTTACTGCACACTTGGTGGGCAGTTTTGTCAAGGTCATGGCGCACTTCGTGTGAAAGTTAGAAGAGAGAAGAGGATTGCAATAGCAAGAATGAGGATACAAATAGCAAACCCTAGAAGGGTTGTACTCGCTATAGAGCACCCCACTACAGGCTAGAGCATAAGATAACATTCTGACACACCCCCATAGCCAAAGTGGGGTGTAATCAGCAGAGCAAGCAAAGCAGTACAAGCTCAGGGTGGATCACAATGTCACCACACATTCTGAGCACAAGTTCAAGAAGCAATAGTTTAAAGTTCACAACTATGAGCAAAGCTAGTGGTAGTCACAACGGGCACGTGAGGAGGAGGAGAGAGAGTGAGAGGAGAGGAGAAAGGAGGCGACGGCTGAAGCTGCAGACACACGGGCAACAGGAGGCACGCTGGCACGGCGGCTACCGGAACAACGCTCCGGAATACTGGAGTAACTGGCCCCGCGGCTAAAGTAGCGGCAGACGAGCAACGGACCCACGGGCGGCTGGCACAGCTGACTACGACTGAGCTACCGGAGCAGCTCCTCGGACTACAGGTGCTGCTGGCGACACGACGGCAACCTCCACGCAGCTTCCCCAAACTATCCCACTCCCCCTGGCACACACCCGCTGCTACACCGCTAGCTCCACTCCCCCTTCACCCCCCCTTAGTACCACTCCACCGGCTCCAACACTTCCACCCCCCCTCAGCGGCAGCTGCAGCACAGGGAGACGGAGGAGGAGTAGGAGCAGGGAACGGCACACCATGGAGGCACCCCCATACCCCTCACCCCCAAACCCTAATTTAGGAGAATAAGGTGTAGGAGGAGTGGGGCGCCAGTAGAAGCACGGGGGGACAGCGGGGAGTGCAGGGGTATCGAGGAAGGGGCCCACCACGGGCCTGGTGCAGACGCCCGAGCCGCGCGCAGGCGGCCCGAGCCGCGCGTGGGCCTGGCGCCGTCCATACGGGCCGCGCGCGGGACTGGCGCAGCCCGTACGGGCCGCGCGCGGGCCTGGCGCAGCCCGTACGGGTGGCGCGCGGGACTGGCGCAGCCCGTACGGGCCGCGCGCTGCCTGAACGGGCCGCGCGCAGGCCACGACAGGCGACAGGTGGCGACGCGCGGGTCCCCGTCGCCCGTCGCGGCGCCTCCAGAGGGCGACGCGGCGAACGACGGGGCAAAAGCCCGCCGCGCGCCTCGGGGCGCACAGCGGGCAGAGAACCGCCGCGCGCCTCGGGGCGCACGGCGGGCCGAAAACCGTCGCGCGCCTCGGGGCGCACGGCGGGAAGAAAAAGTGCCGCACGCCACGGGGCGTGCGGCTCAGAGAGTAGTGTAGGTGTTGCAGCGGAAGCGAGGAGGTGGAAACCCACCCACAGGATCGATCCAAGGGGATCGACCTGCTCTGATAGCATGTGAAAGTTAGAAGAGAGAAGAGGATTACAATAGCAAGAATGAGGATACAAATAGCAAACCCTAGAAGGGTTGTACTCGCTATAGAGCACCCCACTACAGGCTAGAGCATAAGATAACATTTTGACACTTCGATGGCGAAGTGGATTCTGGATATGCGGCTTTTGAAGAAGCCATCATGGCTCAGCATGAGCACCTGGAAAACATGATTGCAATGGCACCATCAACACTCCAAGCTTTGTTAAAGGACAAGTTTGGAATGATAATCCAGCCAAGGACAACGTTCTCTCATGACTCTAACAATCCGTCCACCCGTGGGCACTCTCAATCAACCACTCCGCGTACTAACCAAAACCGTGCATCAAATGTTAATGCAGGAATTGATGGTGAAAGGGAAATAAGCATACCTCAAGGAGGAGAGTCATCCCAAAGGAAGGATGCATCCGTCCAAGGAGAGGAGAAGGCCAATCCCGCACCTCAATCATCCATGCAAAGGGAAGCATGGGGGAGGAATGATGAATATGGAAGTGCAGTGCATGGTCGAGTGAGAAGTGGACAGATTGGGCAGCAGGGTGACGGAAATAGTCAAGTGGGCGTGGAAGGTGTGGGTTTTGCCTCCTACACTATTGGTGCTCCCCCACTACGATGACTTGCGACTAACTCCCATCCCATTGGAGTTCCTCCCATCGCTAGGTCTCACCTTCATAGCGGCAATGTCATACCTCTGCGTGCACCTCGTCCACCGATTGGAGTACACTATGTGGATAGCATGGGGCGGATGGGATACGGAATGCAGTCACGCGGTATCATGCGACGTGATCAAGTGGAAGTGCTGGAACGTGAACTTGGTGGACAGAATGGAGACATGCAGCGCACGGTACATCTACCTCGACCGTCAACCGTGCCTACTCTCTTCGACCCCGCTCCACGTGAATACACGGAAGAAGACAAGGAACGGCTGTCACGCAAAATGGTGGGAGCAACGGTGGACAAAGCGTTTACCACTACTCCGTTTGATGGCTCAAACTTCCGAGAGTGGGCACTATGGTTTCGTATGAACGCTCGCATCACGAATTTGTGGGAGTTCTTTGTGACCCTGCAGTATCAGGTTACCATGGGAGATGGTGACATTAACGACGCTATGGAGCAGCTCGAAATGCTACAGGCGGATTACTCACAGCGTGCGGCGCTCGCTTTTTGGGTCCTATTGTACAGTGTGAGCGCCCCGATTCAGCTGCGGCAGGACATGTTTCAGGAATCCTATAGCCCGACATATGAAGCGTT